GTCCGGCTACCAGTCCGTATCATCTATACCAGTCGCCATACATACTTCTCAAGTTCTTTAATCCAGATAATACTCACAAACAATAAACTCACTCTGTGTGTGTGTGAAGGGGTATATGAGGGTGCACATGTGTGCACATGCACATGTAAGCACAAGCACACATATATGGAGACCAGAGGACAACATCTGGTGGTGTTTCCCCAGATGCCATCCTCCTGGTTTGTGTTTTATTTAACGAATTGATAAATGTATTTCTTTATTACTGTGTACATGGCACATGAGGGATGCACATACCACAGTGTCTGTGTGGTGATCAGAGGACAATTTTGTGGGGTTTTAGCTTTCCACCTTTATGTGTTCTGGAGCTTGAGCTCACTTTTCCAGGCTTGGATGGTTAGCCCCTTTATCCTCTCACTGGCCTTTTAAAAAAGACATTCTCTCACCAGCCTAGAACTCAGCACATAGTCTAGGCCCAGTGATCTCTGTCTCCCTATCTCCAGCACCGGGATTACAAGGATGTGCCATTGCCTTTGGCTTTTTATATGGGTTCTGGGTTCGAAACTCAAGACTTATGAGTTTACCGACTGAGCTATTTCCCAGCGCCCAGCTCCCTCATTTAAATAGCTTTACATAGAAGTTGAGGCCAGTGTGGGCTACAATGATATCCTGTTTTAAAAAAGAGAGAGTAAAAAATATTCATGAGAAATTCATGGGAAAATTGTGGTTAGGAATGTTCTCTCCCTCCTCAAATACAAAGAGAGGGCTGTGGGTATAAAGTGGGGCCTCAGTGGGCTTGTGGTACTCAAGGATAGAAAAGGAGATTTGGAACTAGTGGTGCTGATGCATGCCTTTGATCCCAACACTCGTGAGGCAGAAACAGGTAGATTTCCATGAGTTCGAGGTCAACTTGGTCTACAAAGTGAGTTCCAGGACAGGAATACACACAGAAACCTTGTCTTGAAAAACCAAAAACCAAAAACAAAGAAAAGAAAAGAAAAAAAAAAAACCCTATATAAGCCTTGTTCAGTTTGGGGCTGCGTTTTTCCAACCACTCTCCTCGATTCTTCCCTCCCAATGAATTTATTTTCTTTTTCTTTCTTTCTTTTTCTTTCTTTCTTTCTTTCTTTCTTTCTCTCTCTCTCTCTCTCTCTCTCTCTCTCTCTCTCTCTCTCTCTCTCTCTTCTCTCTCTCTCTTTTTTTTTTTTTTTAATTTATTTATTTATTATGTATACAGTGTTCTGCCTGCAGGCCAGAAGAGGGCGCCAGATCTCATTACAGATGGTTGTGAGCCACCATGTGGTTGCTGGGAACTGAACTCAGGACCTCTGGAAGAACAGCCAGTGCTCTTAACCTCTGAGCCAACCCTCCAGCCCCTCTCTTTCTTTTTTTAAGACAGTGTTTCTCTTATGTAGCTTTGGAGCCTTTCCTGGAACTCGCTCTGTAGCCCAGGCTGGCCTAGAACTCACAGAGGTCCACCTGGCTCTGCCTCCCGAGTGCTGGGATTAAAGGCGTGCGCCACCACCACCCGGCTCCCAGCGAATTTCTTGAATGAGGTTTGGGTGGTGACCTTCTTTCTCCAGAGGGGAATGGAGCAGAGAAGTAACAGTTTTCGTGGGAGTAGGAGCAGAAGTGCTACATTCCTGCAGGGAAACCATACCCAACTGGAAGAGAGCTGTAGGTAAGGCCCGGCTTCCGACAGCCAGGATAACTTTCCCTTTAGAACTGTAACACAGCCACCGCCCAGCTAAAATCCAGAGCTTTGCACACGCTGGGAAAATCTACTATGGACCTATGTCCTCAGCTCCTCAAGCCAATTATTTATTTATTTATTTATTTATTTATTTATTTTTTGGTTTTTCGAGACAGGGTTTCTCTGTGTAGCTTTGAGCCTTTCCTGGGACTCACTTGGTAGCCCAGGCTGGCCTCGAACTCACAGAGATCCGCCTGGCTCTGCCTCCCGAGTGCTGGAATTAAAGGCGTGCGCCACCACCGCCCCGGCCAATTATTTATTTTAATTCTGATGTAATTTACAGTTTGCAGAGTGTTTATAAACATTTTGTTTGTGGATTCTCAGGACTTGGCAAAGTGGGAGGTTTCATGCCTGGTTACGGAGATGAGGAAACTGAGCTCCCACAAAGAGAATTCCACAGAAGATCTGAGAAAAAGTGACTAAATCTGAACTTGACCCCATGCTCTCTACTTCCAAACCTATTACTTTTCCATTTACATAGTACAGGCAGTTGGGGTGGTAGAATGTTGGCAGGTGCCAAGACAAGGATATGGAGCAGGGTAGGTGTCAGGGGTCATTTAGCAATGGCCTGTGGCTTCCAGGGCAGCAGGGCCATCCAAGCCATCTGGGCATCAGCAGAGAGTGGCATGTAGTAAGTGGGACTTTTTGGTAGCAGTCACCTGCTCACTTGGGTGACTGGCCAAGAGGAGTCACTATGTGACTTGCCTCTCTTGGGGTGATTGTATGGAGTTGACTGGTCAGTGGCAATGGTGAATCACTGGTTATTGACAGCAGATCGTACCAGGCTTGAGGAACTTAAGTTCTTGTGTTGGAAAGAATCTGTTGGATCAGGATATTTTTCAGTTCCCTGGGCCCAGACCTCACATTCTAACTTGATACGAAGCCCCGAGTTGATGTCTACCACTTGTGAGTAGGCTTGGCTTTGGGAAGAGAGGTTTGTATATGGGAAAAGGTCTAGACCCCTTGGTCATTGAGGACATGGCATTGATCTGCTATGACCTCACCTCACAGAGCCGGTGAGGAATGGAGACTAAGCAGGGTAGGGTGGGGGATTGTCAAGGTTCCTCAGGGGGATGCCAGCCTCTGCTTATCTTTTGTTTGGTTGTTTTTTTTTGTTTTTTTGTTTTTTTTTGTTTTTTTTTTTTTCAAGACAGGGCTTCTCTGTGTAGCCCTGGATGTTCTGGGATTCACTCTGTAGTTGGGGATCCGACTGCCTCTGCCTCCTGAGTGCTGGGATTAAAGGCGTGCGCCACCGCCACTGCCGCCACCACCACCACCACCGCCTGGCTACGTATGAAGTTTAAAAAGATTGAGGAACTGGCAGCTCTGTGGCCTAGCTTTGTCTGTCATTGAGGATGACTTGAAATCTCCTAGTTTGTTCTAGGGAATGCTCTCATGACCTGTCCGGAAGTAGGCACCCCCATCCACACAGTGCAACAAAAGACAAGTGTTCAAATGGCAGTTTCAGCAGTTCCTGTGGCTCCTCACCCTTCTTCATTTGGGGTCATGAGGTAAGCAGTGGAGAAATACTGGAGGCGACAAGGGACTTGGCTTCTGAGGATCTGAATAAATTGAAAGCATAGGTCCTGGTTAGAAAAACAAAATGTTGCCGGGCGGTGGTGGCACATGCCTTTAATCCCAGCACTCGGGAGGCAGAGGCAGGTGGATCTCTGTGAGTTCGAGGCCAGCCTGGTCCACAGAGTGAGTTCCAGGAAAGGCACAAAGCTACACAGAGAAACCCTGTCTCGAAAAACAAAACAAAAAACAAAAAAAAAAAAAAAGAAAAAAGAAGGAAAAATGAAATGTTATGGAGTATTTGATCTGTTGAAATCAGTTCCTAGATTAATGCGACTCCATGTCAATTGCAACAGTGTGTGTGTGTGTGTGTGTGTGTGTGTGTGTGAGAGAGAGAGAGAGAGAGAGAGAGAGAGAGAGAGAGAGAGAGAGAGAAAGAGAGAGAGAGAGAGAGACTATTAAGCTAGCACTGGCTGTTCTGAAGCTAGGTATATAGACTAGGATGGCTTCGAATTAACAGAGATCTGCCTGCCTCTGCCTCCTGGGTGCTAGGATTAAAGGGGTGTGCCACCACGATTGGTGTACTTTCCTGGGGCCTCCCAAGTGCTGGGACTATAGGCCATTACATCACCACTCCCAGCTCCAACATCATTACTGCTATTTTTGGCTATCATCATCATCATCATCATCATCATCATCATCATCATCATTAGTGTTAGTATACAAAGAAATGGGGTTCATTCTGGCATTTTTCATACATATACTTCTTTGGAACAGAAACATGATTAACAGCAGTTGCCAACATTAAAGATTTACTGAGTGCCAGCCATTGGGTTTGCAAAGTGCTATTACTCCGATCTCCATTTACAGACCCAGACCGTGAGGCCTGGAGCAGAAGCGTGCCAAGATTACAGGGCTGCTCAGGGGCTTTTTTTTTTTTTGAGACAGGCTTTCTCTATGTAGTTTTTGGTGCCTGTCCTGGATCTCGCTCTGTAGACCAGGCTGGCCTCAAACTCACAGAGATCTGCCTGGCTCTGCCTCCCCAAGTGCTGGGCTTAGAGGCCTGTGCCACTACCGCCTGGCTGCTGCTCAGTGTTGAGCCTGGTGTATCCTCAAAGCCCACGTTCTTTTCTCTTTTTAGATTTATTTTACTTTTAATTATATGTCTCTGTGTGGGCATACGCATGTGAGTGTTGGTGCCTGAGGCACTGGATCATGTGGAGCTTAAGTACAGGCAGTTGTGAACTCCCTGTGGGTGCTGGGAACTGAACTGTGGACCTCCTGCAAGGGCAATATGCCTGTTAACTGCTGAGCCATCTCTCCAGCGCTCGAAACCAATGATCCTAACCCTTCCTTATATAATTATCCTACAGTGTGTATGGGCATGTAAATGTATGGGCAGTGCTAGTCAAAAAAAGTCTCATGGTGGGAACTGACTCTTGTCAGATGTAAAAACTATTTCAAAGAACCAATATTGATAACGATACAGTATTTGCTGAAACCAAGGTGTATGGGAGGAAAGGGAGGATTCTGAAATACACAAGCCGAAAGCAAAATATAGCAAAAAAGTAGGTTTCGCTAAGCAAAGAACAAGGTCAGAATTATTTAATAAGTGGTGACTGCATAAACAATAACCATTGTGATAGAGTAGGGGAATTAAATCCACACTTTACTCCCAAACACAGCAAAAATAAAATTGGACAGGGGATCATAAAATAATAAAATATGCAAAGAAATTATACAAGCTAGCAGATGGGTACACGAAAGCTCACTTTGTTAGCATTCAAACAATGAAAAAGAAAAAAGGAAAAAAAAAACCCACCAGAGGACTAGAATGACAAATGAACTGTAAACTAAAACGAAAGGAACATCAGGCCGGGCAATGTTTGCATCAATAACAAAAGTGAAATATCTTTAACAGAAAAAAAAGGGGGGGCTTATTTAAAGTTAGAAGAGATTCAACTCCTCAAGACAATGGATACGAACAACAGGTCATTCACAGAAGGGGAAATACAGGTAGCAAATGAGGAAAATTTGAGTGTTCAGTCATCCAAGAAATGTCAAATAAGGTCGTCTTGATAGTTCAAGATTATTAACGTAGGGGAGAAAAGATGTCACCCAGTGGTTAGAGCCGTGCATTGAATTCCTTATGCTGTTCCTTGCTGATGAAGAGCAAGTGGGGGCAATACAGGCCATTCATCGCTTTCCACCTGCAAACTTTCCCACTCCATGAAATTTATCCCATGTGTAGAACTCAAGGATATGTTAGCAGATCACTGCCGCGAAATAAAATACAAAGAAAGTAGGAACTGCACACCTTAAAAATGATCATGTAAATAAAACATGTTAGTGAAAGTAGAAATAAAATGTGTGCTTGCAAGCATGTAAAATTAGGTATCTATGTAGAAGGTTTGGTTTGGGAAGTCAAATTGTGTAGTAATGGATATTCTTTTTACATCCCTTTTTCCTGTTATCTCGTCTTTTCAGTGGTGCTTACACTTACAAAAAAAAATCATCTGGAGTTTTTTAATGTGGATATTTCCTAAGGTTGCCCAAACCTGAGAAAGATGCCAAGACATTGTGTGTGGGGTGCGTGTCTGTGTGGGCGCCTCCCCTTCTCTCAAAGGCAGGAGCCCTGACTGAGACCATTTAGGGCTGGAGAGTCTGGTCTCTTTGGCACTCCCGGGTCCCACTAGCGCTGGGACTCCCTTCTGAGGGAACTTTCTGGAGCAGGTGTGTGTGCGTCCTACCGTCCTACCGACACCTGACACCTGTGCTTGCAGAGGAAGGGATGAGTCGCCGGACCTAACCGCCCGCAGGCACCTCCAGATTCGAGGCGGATTCACAGCTTTTTTGAGCCTCCCATCCTCCCGGAGATCTTAGGTCACCCTGTGCTCCCTTCGCTGCAGGAAAACTGATTTACAAAGCGCCCCCGATCAAGCCTGGACATAAGGTATGCCGATGTGCTCGAGTCGGATTTGGTAGAGCCGGGCACTAGGGTGCCTTGCTAGGTCTGAAAGGACATGCGGGATTCCCGATGTGACTGGGCCGGCGGGCGCAGCCCCCTCGGCAGCGGCACGCGCCCATTGGGGACCTGCCGAGCCGCTGCCTCTCTGCTAATGCCATCTTGCTCGAGGTGGTCACGTGCGGGCTACAGTGGCGCGCTTCGCCCGGGATGGACGGATCAGGGACTTCGGCGGGTCCCCAGCCGCTCGGTCCAGAAGCCAAGGTGAGGTCTCTCTCCAAAATCCAAGGAGGGCCAGGACGCGCCTCCGGAGCCCGAGGGCGCGTCTCCCAACCGCGCTCAGTCCACGGCGCCGTCGGGGATCAGAGGCCCACGCCGCGCCGCCCCCCCGGGCCTCGCAGGCGTCCTCGGCGACGTGCCGACCGGGGACGCGAGAAGAGCGGCGGGCAACGGACCTTGGGCCCACGGATGCCTCCTCTTCCGAGCAGCTCGAGCCCGGCGAGCCGGCGGCCGCGGGGAGGCCGGGCCGTGAGTGCCACACGCGCTAGGCGAGGGGCGCGGGTTGCCGGGAGGACCGCTGAGCTTGGGGAGGAGGGAGGGGGGGGGGGCGCGGGCGCATGCGCCTTGCGCCCGTGCCATATTGGAATGAGTCGGAGCGCGGAGCGGCGCCGCCGCCTCCGCCGGAGGAGCGCGGGTGCAGGGGGGCGGGGAGAGCTGCCGGCCGCCCCGCTCTGCCGGGCCCAGCAGGAAGGAGGGCGCGAGCGGGAGGGCGCGGGCGGCGCGAGCGGAAAAGGCGCCCCGCGCGGGCGAGCGCAAAAAAAAAAAAAAGGAAAGAAAGAAAACGAGCGAGCGAGCGGGCGAGCGAGAGGGGAGAGCGAGCGAGCGGGCGAGCGAGCGGGCGAGCGCGCGCGCGAAAACTCCGTCAGGTAAAAAAGCGGGGCGGGCGGGCGGGCGGGCGGCCGGCTGGGCCTTCCCGCGCGGCGGCCTGAGGGGCGGTGCGGCGCCCTCCTGAAGAGGCCGAGCAACTTTGCCAGCGGGAACCGCCGGGAGCCAGCGGGTGGCGGGCGCGCGGGTTGAGGCGCCAACGGGCGGCGGCGGCGGCGGCGGCGCGTTGGGCGGGGGGGACGGCGGGGGGGGGGGGGAACGCGGCGCCGGCGCGCGGCCTGGCGCGGTCCCGAGGCTCGGCGCGCCGGCCGGCGGGGCTGCGGGGACGCGCCCGGGCACCTCGCGGCCGCGGCGGAGGCTGGCGGTCCGGGGCGAGCGAACGGGCGAGCGGCGCACGTCAGCACCGCTGGGCTCGTGAGGCCAAAGTGGCCGGGTGGGCGGCAGCGGGCGTCCAAGTTGCGGGCTCCGAGCACCGCCTTCCCCCCTCGCCCACCCCCCCCCAATTCGAGCTCTCTCTCCCGCCGAGCCCCCGCGGACCCGCCCCCCCCCCCCCCCCGGGCTCGCTCCGGGCGGGGCGCGAACCCGCAGCCCGCGCGGCCGCTCAACTTCGCAGGGCCCAGGCAGCAGCCGCGCGCGGTGGGCGAGCTTCTAGCCTCCGCCGCAACCGGTGGCTCCGGCCTCCCCGGCGCTTCGGCTGGTGAAGCGCCGCCGCCGCCGCCGCCGCCCGACCCCCTGCGCGGACCCGGTCAGCGTCCCGAGGCCACTGGGCAGGTCCGTGACCGTTTCGATTTGTGTTCCCGAGTCTTGTTTTGTTCGCTGTAGAGACGACTTTGGGGGGGGGGGGACGAGGCGAGTGTCCGGGGAAGCAAGGCCTGCTCTTTGCGGAGCAGAAAAGCCTTGCGAGACCAGAAATAAATTCCCGCGGAAAGGATAGACGTCGTGTTAAGTTTTTCCCAAGATACCCGCTGTTCGCGTGGGGTCTAAAACTAAGCTGTCAAACCCAGGTCACCTCTAGAGCTTGCTGTGCGCCTAGAGTGGGGTGGGATGCCCCTGCCCCAAGTAGGGCTTTTTTTACTCGGTGGGAGCTCTTCCCCGCGGGTCACTCAAAGCGGTGGTTAATGGTTCCAACTGGTGTCTGGTGAGTCCTGGATTCATCAAAAAGATTTGAAGGAAGTAAGATGGATTTTGTCAATACCTGCGTGTGTCCTCTCCCGAACCACGATTTTTAAGGTGTCATACTTTATTTCATCTGAAGCAGAATGCCTGAGCATGTAACTGTTGACTTGTCAGCTGTCTCGGTAGGGTGGAAGGAGATAAATGTGTTTTTATAAGTACATATTGGGGCTTGTTAATTCGTGGCAGATGTTGAAATCTTCTAGGCCACAGGTAGATTCAGAGTTCAGATTGTTTGCGACGTCAGGAACATAACGGCAAGTTGGATAAGGAAATAGTGTTATTACGTTGCCATTGACAAGCTGATTTGTCTTGGGGTAGGTGTCTACCCAGTGTAGATTTGATTTTCCATATTTGCAAAAGTAGGGTAAGTAGATCACCATTCTTTTGGTTCTAAGATTTGGAGACTTCTTAAAGTGGGATTTAAGTGTTTTGAAAGGTTCTGTATAAAAGCACTCACAATATGTGTCTTTATAAAAATAGATTGGAAAACCTACCTTGTTAGCTATATCCAGGATAATTTTGTGAACCTTGTTTGAACACAGGCATTTAGAGAAGGCATTTCAATCCACTTAAATTATGCTTCTTGGGACTGGAGAGACGGCTCAGCGGTTAAGAGGACCCGGGTTCAATTCCCAGCACCCACATGATGGCTCACAGCTGTTTGTAACTTCAGTTCTAGGGGACCCGACACCCTCACACAGACGTACATGCAGGCAAAACACCACTGCACATAAAATAAAATAAATAAAATTTTAAAATGCTTTAAAATAGAACAATCAGACTGCAACCCACAGAACCAGGGAGGCTACATAGCAGGGGGGACCCTAGGATGACTGTGGCTTATAATAAGTTTTGGTTTGACTCAATCACTGGGCAGGCCTCAGTGAAACATTTCACTATTAGGATAAGAATTTGTATTGTATCAAGCTGATAATAGAATAAATAAATAAACAAATAAATGCTTTAAAATAAAGAAATTATGCTTTTTAAATTTAACAGTGAAATCTTAAGGGGACAGTTCATCCTTGTTTTGCATGTGTATATGTTCTGATGGCCACATACACTTTAAGAAACAGAAAATTTTTAGCCCCCACCCCAAAAGGATTCCTTGAATTCAGTAAACACCTGCCCCTTCCCCAAGGCAACCACCATTCTGACTTCCAGCACACCCAATGAATTTTGCCTCAGAGCAGGTCCTTTTAGAATGTGAAAGAGGCAATATTAATAACTGAAGAATAGCAGGTTGTGGGCATTTTAGTCGTGATGCTGTGTTTTTGTAATGATGTAGGCTTTTTCTGGTATCTACAATGTCTTAATATTCTGACCTTTGATCTTTGTGGTCAGAAGAACATTTTTAGCTTAGTAGTATTTGGTGTGTTTGGATCGTGGTTTCTGGGAGTCTTTATATTCACAGTTGAACATTAGTATATCACTGCCCATTTGGGGATACAGATATATTTGTAGAGAATAGATTTGAAGGAAGGATCATGAATTTTCCCAACAAGTTAGAGTGAAAGGTATCAATCATTAGGTGAGTTAATTCCTTAAAGCATAGAATTTGCAGCCGGGCGGTGGTGGCGCACGCCTTTAATCCCAGCACTCGGGAGGCAGAGGCAGGAGGATCTCTGTGAGTTCGAGGCCAGCCTGGGCTACAGCGCAAGATCCAGGAAAGGCGCAAAGCTACACAGAGAAACCCTGTCTCGAAAAACCAAAAAAAAAAAAAAAAAAAAAAAAAAAAAAAAATAGAATTTGCAAAGAAAATTGAATGAAAATTGATTTTTTAAAAAAATTCCAGTGAATTAATAATATGGGTATAAAGCTTTAACAACCTTTTTAATGATAGCAGTGAATTTGATTTATGCATGTAGGATGTACACCTGGTTTATCAAATCATTAAAGTCCAACAGTAAAAGCAAAAACAAAATGTAAATAAAAATAGGTTGGTGTAGTTTTTTTTTAAGTCCGTTTGATTAAAGCCACTTTTTGTATTAGAACCCTATGCAAAAGGTTGAATTTTAAATATACACTGGAAGTAAATGCTGCAGTAATTTGCCTGTATCTCCCAAATATCTTTTAATGTATCCTTGTGCTCTTTGTTTCTACTGCTAAAGGATGAGTTGGGTTCTAAGTGCATGCTGATCTTGGCAGCTTCTTGCAAATGCCTGTGTCACGTCCCCTCGCCCCTGTCCCCCCTCCCCCCCTCCCCTGTGTGGTGTCCCCCCCCCCCCCCAAGAAGGCTGTGTGATAGAAAGTGGGAATGGTTTACCACCCGCATTAGCGATGTGTGTGGAATACTTCCCAAAGTTTAAAGTTGGGGGGGAGGGGGGGGGAGAGAGAGAGAGAGAGAGAGAGGCTCTCTGAATAATTCTAATGAGCTAGTTGATGGGCCAACAACTAATTTGAGTTTGATCATTTCACTCAAAGTTTACAGCCTCATTAACAAATAGAGTACATGATGATTTAGCCATCATTGATGAACTACTTGATTTTTCTGAGGCTTTTTTTTTCTTTTTTTGAATTCTTGGCTTTTTATTGTAAAAACTGCTGAATCTTTGGGATGCAATTGAAGGAATATATAAGAAACAAAATACAAAAGGGAGTTTCTTCTTTAATAATTGTTTTTTTGGTAACCATGGTTTTTCCCTTTAAAAATGCATTGCCATTTATGTGCTCACAAGTACACAGATAAATAAATGAAATAAATGAAAAACCAATGCTTTGCCAGCAGGGCATGGTGACAGGCCTGCAGTCCCTGCATTTGGGAAGCAGAAGGGTCAGAAATTCAAAGTCATCCTCTGCTACTCAGTGAGTTGTAGGCCATCGTGGACTATATGAATCCCTCTGTCAAAACACCAAACTGAAACTGTACTTTACTACACCAGACAACCACCGAAGTGCAGAAATCTGTGCCTGCCTGCACATTTGTA